CAACCGGGTTAGTTTTCGAATTATTTAAGCCACAAGCTAAAATATGCGTCTTAATACGCTTATGAAAGCGTTGCCATGAAAACTGCTAGTGACGAAATGACAGCTATTTTTGGATAACCAATTATTACATAATTCAATTCCCGTAAAAGTGTTCAACTGGCCTTGGTTAGTCTTTCTGTTGTATTCTTTTAAAGTTACAAACCATCAAAAAGATGAAAACCGGTACGAGCCACCTTAAAATGATTAAGTCATAGTTGTCCGAGAGTAACTAATGTGCGAGCCTGCGAGCCGGAGCCGTTTTTTTGCGAGCCTCGAGCCTTTTCTTTCGAGCCACTGTTTCTTCTATATCTTTCCATTTTCTCCCCTCATTTTATTCTAACAGTCTTTGGCTCCTCTCCAGAAAGCATTTGAAGGTGAAAATCTGAAAAAATATCAAACTAGACGCTACAGGAGCTTTCACTCGGGCTTTGTAGCGAGCGCTTTACTTGAGAATTCACCATGCGTAAAACTTATTCGAAACTACAAAGCCATAGCATTCACTCAAAACACGAGTACAATTATAATATGCATCACAAGATCTTAATTGTTTTACCTTTAATGACACAGTAACATTTTGTTCCTGTACATTGGTCATATTGGAAAATTTTTCTAGTAGATCACAGTCATCAAGAGTATTCATCATGACTTATACTAATTAGCACTCGTAACTCCATTCAAAGAGCAAACCAACTTTCACGATTGCTTGCACAATAATAATAGTGACTATGTACGAAATATCAAATCGTACTGTACAAGTATTGAACTCGGTAGAAACCAATTACAGAAACAGGTATTTAACGGAAGAGCTAAGCTTAGATATTTAACATTACTATTCATGTTGCTTCTGTCAGTATCCCTATCCAATTCGCTGTTGTTAGCGCCACCTTCGAGCGAGGTATTCATCTCAGCTTCATAGTTTGTTGTTAATCGGCTGTCACATTTTTGCCAGTATTTTCGTCGTTTGAGCGAAAATGCTCGACATCGTTTAGTGTGGGCCTACCACGAACGGTGTGTGCGTTTGTATGGGAGAACAGTGTATAAGACAGGAATCTTTGCCGTGCGACCTTCCCAAAACACAACATTTCGAAAATTGTGTTGTTTACAATCAGCGAGCACACGATGAGACAAATTGTCGCACTCTCATCCTCAGTTTCCACGGTTTAAACAAGGAATGCCTGGGACCATGACCTGTGTTTTGGCCCGTGACGTAATTAAGATCATAAAAAGGCAGTATGTCCAGATTTGGATGTTATTTTCCCGGGGCTCGCAAAAAATGGCTCCGGCTCGTCTTAAAAGGCTCGCATTCTTGCACCCCCCTAGTTGTCCACATCTCGCTTTAATTATTTGAATTTGTTTTTTAGCTAAAGTGTATGCAATCTGCAGCTGATTGTCTGATTGAAATTTTAAAGCCAGTGAACAGGCTCCATTTTGTGACTCAGATCGGACAAAACAACAGAGGAGAAAGCGTATTGCTTCAAATTTTCCAATTAGTACCTCCTTTTTGGGAACATTTTGATTAACAGCTGAATGTATCATCCTGTTCATGTTTCTCTCTCATTTTACACAGATTCCAGAGGGTGAAGTTGATTCTTTGCCAGTTAATTTCTTCCTAAACAATTTATTATCCATGATGTCTCTTCATGGTGATTCTGGTAGTAGTAGCTTGGAGTGTGATCTATGTGATAATGGGGACCCTCCTGTGAATAGATGTACTACATGCAGTCACTTTCTCTGTGAGTTTTGCACACAGGCTCATCAGCGTTTGCGCAACACAAGGGCACATGGTCTGGTTTCACTTGAAGAAGCAAAAAGGATGGGATCTGTGGCTGTGACAAAGCCTAGTGTTTGCAAGGAACATGATGGCCAGTTGTTGAAGCTGTTTTGTGAGACATGCGATGAAGCTATCTGTAGAGACTGCACTATTGTGAGGCATCGTGAACACAAGTATACATTTGTAAAAGATGCTTTTGCAAAGAACAGGGAAAATGTGTTGAAAATTCTCTCAGAGACAAAACGGAAAGCCAGGTTTCTAAATGAGGCAATTGATAGAGTTTCTGAAAAGAAAAGAAGTGTTGACTTGGGCTCAGAAAAGACTGTTCGAGAAGTTATTGACTGTTTTCAAAACCTAACAGCTAGTCTGAATTCTCGTTGTGAAGAGTTGGTTGACAGCATATTAAAGCTGAAACAAGCCAAGCAAAAGTCCCTGGATAATCAACAAGAACAATTGGAGACAGCTTTGTGTACCATGCAAAGTAGTGTGGAATTCACAGAGAAGGCTTTGGAAAATGGCAGTGAAGTTGAGATTTTAAACATGCATAAGCAAATGACTGACCGATTACAGGAACTGATTACAGCGATATGGGAGCTGGAACCATGTGCACATGATGTCTTCACTTTTTCTGCTGATGATCGTTTGCAACAAATGATAACTAACTTTGGAAGTGTGACTGATAGACGTACATGTGCTGGTACATCAACAGTGACTATGGGACATGGATCAGAGGGTGTGATGTATAATACACTGAGTGGACAACGTGTTGAATTCACTGTCATTGCAAAGGGACGCAATGGGAAGAAACGAGAGAAAGGTGGTGATACATGTGAAGTAGAAATCTGTACACAGGCAGGTGATGTAGTATTCAATGATTCACCTAAAGACTGTGGAAATGGAATGTACACATTTTGTGTCACTCCAAATTCTACAAATATGCAGTACCAGTTGTCTGTGAAACTCAATGGTTGTCATGTAAAGGGAAGTCCTGGTACATGGTTTAATGAAATGTGGAATCTTTGCTCAGATAGCAACAACATGAATTTAACAAATGGTTCTTTGAAGGCTTCCCATCAATATCTTTCAGTGCCATTGCAGAGAACAGTGAGGGGGAGTTGGGGGCTGTACGAAAATGACGAAGAAATGTTCAAGACCAAAGTGCCATTTAAATGGAGCAATAGAGGACCAATCCTCAACAACAAAATGGCAGTATTCGGATCATGTACATTTTCCAATGCTAAGCACTCATGGAAAGTCCGGTTATATAACATTTCTGACAAATTTGCTTTTGGAGTTGTTAAATTCCCTTCCACAGCTGACAGGTCGCTGGGTTTGGCAGCTCGGTGGATGTGGCAATCCAACAGTAAGTATCACCATTCATTAGCACCCCAACTGAGTTCAATAATGAACTGTATCAGCAATGATGTTATTGAATTCTATTTGGACTGCGATACTGGGACATCCATGATGCACAATCAGCGCACCCAAGAGAGTGACACTTGGCAAGGTGTCAAAGGTGGAGTGCGCCCTTATTTTGAAATGTGTCAGCAGAGAGAGGCTGTTTCCTTAACTTGGCTGGAGAATGAGGATGATGTTAGGGAAATGTGGAAGGAAAAAAAGGACGATTTTATGGAATTTTCGTAGGAAAATGAGAATAAAGTTATGGCACCTTGGCAGGAAAATGAGCATGATGTTAAGGTTGCTTTCTTTTCCCTTTAACTCTCTGAGTGACCGAGACAGAATTTCTCCTCACAACATCAGTCCAATTTCAAGGAGACAAGTGTTAAGAAAATATCAACTAGGGGATTAGTAGTTGATCCTATTCAAAATTCTCCCAAGTAACATCACAATAATTGTATAGCAGACAATGAGGAGAATTTCTAATGCGATCATGGGAGTGAATGGGTTAAATTGGGAGAACTGAAGATAACCTGAAACAAGCTCCCTGATTTTATTCTAGTTTATGGAGTCAGTTAAGGATAAAACATAGCTGAAATTTCATGTGGGATTGTTGATTATCAAAGAAGTTCAAAGCTATAATTAACAATTATTCCACGAGCGCGCGTTGGATAGGAGATGATAGATGGCCAACGAGGTGCGTAGCGCCGAGTTGGCTATAATCATCTCCTATCCAACAAGCGCGAGTGGAATAACTGTTTTATTAAAAACGCCCCCAATAAATTATTATTTTGTACGAAGAAACTGGATTTTTTAGCTCCCTTTTGATTTTAAGCTGACGCGTACGCTTACCATCTTTGTAGATTATGGTATATTGGCTCCTATACCATAAGGGCTAAGCCAATAAAAAGTCTTGGATTGCATTATCCAATGATCCAGTTTTTAATAACTAAATATATACAATGAATATATGAAGTTCATAAATTTTGAACTGCGGTATTAGATACGTATGATGTACGATCCTCGCAGTAGAGAGCGCTATTTATGCAATAGCGAAAATCAGACCTGAAAAAAATCAGGCCTGTACGGGATTCGAACCACTGACCTCTGCGATACTAGTGCAGCGCTCTACCAATTGAGCTAACAAGCCAACTGGGAGCAGGCCGTTAAGTTGATTCGTAATAAACCCGTGATGATAAATCAGATACAATGAATATATGAAGTTCATATATTTTNTGGTAATCTGTAATATTTGGCAACTTGTGTTGGGCAATAATTTTGAAGCAAGTTGTGGCATTTTTTTAACTTTGTTTTCAACATTTGACATCAGCCATCTTAAAATAACACTCAAGCTGTGTTGTCATCTTCTATAAAAATTTGAGCTTAGTGTATTGAAAATAATTTAATTTGTTTTTAAAACTGCTGAAATGCAAAAGTTAAGATTCTCTTTCCAATTTCTCTAAATTGGTTTTACTTCGTTGATGAAGATAACTTATAATAATTAGGTCACAGCTGAGCTAATAATGCTATAGACTCTAAAATCATCCCTCTCAGTCTAACCACTTATTACCTTCAACAAACACAAAATAAAGTTCAAAGCCCCTTGACTCACATTAAATTCATTAGAGAAAAACCTTGGGATTAGAAGGAAATTAAAACATGACGTCCCATTGTTAATTACTTATGCAGAAAACAATTTCGCACTTTGTTTAATGCTGAAGACTGAGATAACCAACTGTAAAATTCATGCAAGCTTTCGGCTCTTGAGATCTCTAAACTGAGCAAAATCACTTCTACAGCCATTCCTCAAATTTACCATGTCTTTAAAGACCATTGCTCTAGCCTTTTTGATACAATTTACAAATTGTTGAATTCCTAAACTCTATGTGATACGGCCACCTCACTTAGTCTGTTCTAACATTAAGGATGGCAATACATTTCATTTTTGTCCTTCAGTTTGTAGTCAAAAATTTGTTCTTTGACTTTAAACTTGACTTCACACAAGCAATTAAAGTACAAAATGAAGCAGTTTCAGTTCTACCTCATGAGGATAAATTTGATATCACGACTTTTACTAAATTAATCGAATATATATTTAATTACGTATGATGCACGATCCTCGCGATAGAGAGCGCTATTTATGCAATAGTGAAAATCAGACCTGAAAAAATCAGGCCTGTAAGGGATTCGAACCACTGACCTCTGCGATACTAGTGCAGCGCTCTACCAATTGAGCTAACAAACCAATTGGGAGCAGGCCGTTAAGTTGAATCAACTTAACGGCCTGCTCCCAGTTGGCTTGTTAGCTGAATTGGTAGAGCGCTGCACTAGTATCGCAGAGGTCAGTGGTTCGAATCCCTTACAGGCCTGATTTTTTCAGGTCTGATTTTCACTATTGCATAAATAGCGCTCTCTATCGCGAGGATCGTGCATCATACGTAATTAAATATATATTCGATTAATTTAGTAAAAGTCGTGATATCAAATTTATCCTCATGAGGTAGAACTGAAACTGCTTCATTTTGTACTTTAATTGCTTGTGTGAAGTCAAGTTTAAAGTCAAAGAACAAATTTTTGACTACAAACTGAAGGACAAAAATGAAATGTATTGCCATCCTTAATGTTAGAACAGACTAAGTGAGGTGGCCGTATCACATAGAGTTTAGGAATTCAACAATTTGTAAATTGTATCAAAAAGGCTAGAGCAATGGTCTTTAAAGACATGGTAAATTTGAGGAATGGCTGTAGAAGTGATTTTGCTCAGTTTAGAGATCTCAAGAGCCGAAAGCTTGCATGAATTTTACAGTTGGTTATCTCAGTCTTCAGCATTAAACAAAGTGCGAAATTGTTTTCTGCATAAGTAATTAACAATGGGACGTCATGTTTTAATTTCCTTCTAATCCCAAGGTTTTTCTCTAATGAATTTAATGTGAGTCAAGGGGCTTTGAACTTTATTTTGTGTTTGTTGAAGGTAATAAGTGGTTAGACTGAGAGGGATGATTTTAGAGTCTATAGCATTATTAGCTCAGCTGTGACCTAATTATTATAAGTTATCTTCATCAACGAAGTAAAACCAATTTAGAGAAATTGGAAAGAGAATCTTAACTTTTGCATTTCAGCAGTTTTAAAAACAAATTAAATTATTTTCAATACACTAAGCTCAAATTTTTATAGAAGATGACAACACAGCTTGAGTGTTATTTTAAGATGGCTGATGTCAAATGTTGAAAACAAAGTTAAAAAAATGCCACAACTTGCTTCAAAATTATTGCCCAACACAAGTTGCCAAATATTACAGATTACCAAATTGACAAAGCACACTGTAAATTTACCCTATTTGTTTTCTAGTTGCCTTTAATTGACCAAAATGGTTTTTTTTTCTGGTTTTGTTAACTCATTTTGAAGGACTTCAATCTTTTAGTTTATTTCCTTAAAATGTATGGAAGGTCAATCCTCTTTGTGCATGGGTGCTCTTATAAGGTTACTGAATGAGATTGTCACTATTTTCAGTGGCTTTAAAGTCATTCCAGTAGGTCTCATGTCTGGCCTTTGTCTTATTCTCATGGTGATCTCTCTCCAAGTAGTTGTAGGAAGTAATCAAATGTTATAGATTATATATTTTCAATAGAAATAATACTTAACTCAAACTGCAGCAAATCTGAATGACAAACCTGAAGTGTGTTAATGCACCTTTGAAGGTAAATACAGTATAATACAATACAAATACAATGAGGTAGAAAAAGAATTTCTGAGAATATTTCTGTTATGAATCCATATACTTTATTGTTTTGGGAATGAAGGTCGTTGCAATATTTAGAACATTAGTGCATAGTTCAAGGACTGGATTTCCCTAATTTAAGTATGAAAAAGATCAAGAGTTCAAATATTATTTTTTTTCATGAGTATGAGAGCGAGCTTCATGGTATTGAACACTACTTAAGCGGCATTGAAAATAAGGCCTGAAAAAAAAAATTTCGGCCTGTATAAGATTCAAATCCATGACCTCTACGTTACCAGCGCAGTGCTCTACCAACTGAGGTAAGGAGCCAAATGGGAACTGGTCATTATGCTGGTTTGTAATAAACCCGTGAAGTGACGAGTCAACATTTGTGAATATCTGAAGATCATATATTTTAGCTGAAGTTAAAGAAATTGGTATGGGAGGGATCTTCTCAATATGGAACACCACTTGATATGCATTGGTGAAAAAAATTCAGGCCTGTATGGGATTTCAACCCATGACCTCAACGATACCCAGTGCTCTTACATTTAAGTGACTGTGTAGCCTTCTGTGCTGAATACAGTCATGTAGCCATATAACCTGAGAGAAAGATGTAAGCTTAATAAAAGACACCATGTTGAACCAAATTTATTAAAACTGTTCTAGAAACTAATTTGGTAAGTGCATTTTTTTTAACAGGGGATCTTTCAGATCCCTCTAAGATTATATCCTCCCACATTTAGGTTGGGTTGTACTTGTAACTGGTATTGTCAAATTTAAGACAGGGTACGGTTAGGTTTAGTTTTGAGGGTGCTGCCTCGCGTTGTGTGACTTAGACTAGGTACCGGATTGATTTTGCCCTTTACACGAAAGTGGACGAATCCGAAATAAAAACTCCCGGGTTTGGTCGTGTCTCCGGAGATTTTGAGTCCGGAATTTAAAGTGGGAACTTTGAATCCGATAACTTTTGAATCCGGAAAGTTTTGTCGTGTAACCGCTTTTTTTCTCGAATCCGGATATTGTTTCCGCCAGCAAACTTTTGAGTTTGCGGTGAAACCAAAATGGAGGATCCGGTGCTAACATTGCTGGCGGTCTCCGGTTGCCTAATCTTGTTGCAGGTTCAGGCGATAAATTTTATCATGTGTACCGCAGTATTTCTGAGGAAACGCAAGTTATTATTGCAAGGAAGTTTAACGTCAGCCACACTTAATCGCCGACGACGTAGATGGCTTGGCATCTGTCCAACTCAAATTTGCCTCAGTGACATCTGGATCTACTCTAGCCTTTTTCGGAGGAGGTATATTTTCACTTCGGTGATCGAACGACGAAACAACACTCGGCTTGGTAAACATTCCATTTCGAATGTTCCTGGAGTTGTCACTGTGTGTAAACGGTCAGGAATCCGAATATCCTTTCAGTGTAAACGCCTACGAATCCGAATACTTCAAAATTGATGAATCCGGAAACATTTAGGAATCCGGAAAACTCTCCTCTAGTGTAAACCTAGTCTCAGTGACAGATCACTAACAGAAGACCCACCGTAAGCAGCTTGTTGGCCATTACAGGTGTGCTTAAAGTTTCTGGCCGGCAGTCTATGGACTGCTAACCAAGGCTTGTTTTGTTGGGCATAACTTCACTCAAAGTGAGAAAAGTACCATGAGTTACATTATGTTTAACCCTCAGCAAAGCTATGACGGGACGGAAAAATGCGTGAACTGTAAATACCTCCCGTTGCCCCATACATAGCCTTAGAAAAGTTTTCTAAGGCTATGTATGGGAGGCTATGTTTTCAACCTCCTCCTGGTTAGCTCAATTGGTAGAGCGCTGAAATGTTGTGCGGGAGGTCGAGGGTTCAAGCCCCGGCCTGGCCAACACTCAGGGTCTTAAAATAACTGAGGAGAATGTGCT